ATATGAATAATTTTGACTTACATAAAATGCTTTTTTTTTAAATTGTATCATAATTTTTCGATTTTTATTCGCCACAAAAATTTCTGCATATACTTTATACTTATTAAATAGTATTTCTGATGTCATAAGCCACTTCAATATTTCGCCATTGCTTTTGCTGTGTTTATGTCGGAAAGTTTATAATTATGCATATTTACAAGCTCTTGCAATCAATACTGCAAGGGATGTGTTGCCTTACACTACGGTAAACAACTTCGTACATAAGTAAACTTATTTTTAAGAACAACAACGCTTTAAAAAAATGAAAAACGAGAATTGAAAAAAATTATAAATTAGATAATACTTCTGAAACGCCGAAGAATAATAGCTCTTAATTATTTATTTAAATTGCTGATAAACGAACAAAGAACATTCAATGAAAACAAAATGTATACAAATCTGAAGATTGCGGTGACATTAATCAAAAGAGATGGAATGTACCAGACGAGAACAACGTCTTAGTAATAACGAGTTTACATTTATCAAACAATATAAATTGTTGTTTTGATAATCTCATTTTTCATGCACCACTTTTATGTAAAGTAGACGAACGATCTCATTTCCTAAGTTTTAATAAACATGGCGGTTTCCCGCGACAACGTCCGCGCGTAATTAAAAAAGCTTTGTAGCCTATGTGTTCTTCCAGATTATGTTCTACATCTGTGCCAAATTTCATCAAGATCCGTTGAGCCGTTCTGAAGATACCTTCAAACAAACGTTCATCCATCCAACTAAACATTCCCATTTATATTAGTAAAACATACCTTCTAAAGAGTATGTAATCAAAGCAATGGTAATAGAAAGTGAGTCGAATGATAAAATAACTTGTGTAAGTACATACGCACCTGTTTAAAGAGGATTGTATAAAAACCCTCTGGGCACGAACATTGCGAGAGCAGTACACTTCAGGAGCTGTTTGTTTTTTTTACAACGAATACATGTTTCTGTTCCCTTTACGTGAGGTGGAAAGACATGCGTAGTGTTGGCAATTATTACGCCATTTCTAAACCTAAGCGTCTGCTTGTTCGTGTGAAGTACAGTCATAACAATTGTTTATATGGGGAAACAGCAGTCCTGAGTTCGGAAATACGTTCAAATAAAACTTTCTTTGAAATCAAACTTACTACCGTTCTATTACAAGAAACGAATCTCTTTGACGTAACTGTTCGGTGTAAAGAATGTAGGTAATGTTTACAACGTGCGATCGCCGGAATTTTATTATACACAATGATGTACTTACGAAATAAAGACAATAAATACTATCGATTTATAATATGGTTAAGACATTACTTTAGTACGAGCATGAGATATTTGCAAGAATACCTAAGAATCATGTCACAATATAATGACGTGGATATTACAGTTATGGTTTGTTATAATACATGTGCATAAAATGCGAAGTGCGAAGATAATTGTTATTAATTAATAAAATAAATAAAATGCATTATTCATAATATCATTTCAGTTAAGTAATCAAGCGAAATAATACATGTGATATGATTATAACCTGCAAATTACTTGTCTTTAAGGTTTATTGAAATAGCCTTATTAAATGGTTAAGCGTATTGTAAACAACGAAAAGGATGGATGAGGCAACAGCACAGGTGCGAACAATGCTTAAGAACCTGTTGTAAGATATCAGGGAAGTGTTATCAGAATAATTAGACACGAGTGACGTCATTGTTATAGTTCATTGACCTTATATCGAGTGTGAGGCGCTGTGTGCGGTCGAGTAACACAAAATAGATCTTCGTGATATGTAGATCATTGAAAAAAGAAGCAAAATATAAGTTTTATAGAAGTATTGCGTGTTCTTTGTAACGATGCCTTAGTGTGCGTGGGTGTTGGGTTATTTTGAATCTTAGAAGCGTAACATTTAAGGTTATTAAATTCACACGCTAGATGTTATTGTCTACGAGATGTTGCATATATAGGATTGCGTAGTTGCCGTTGTTCAAGCCACTCCTAGCAATTTAGTACAGACAGTTATACTGGAAGTGAAATTTGTATAAAAGTATTGTGCCCGTGGTAAAGTTATAATTAGAAAGCAGCGTTTTGCGGTAGCTAGGATGAGAATGAAACAAGAAGAGGTACAAATTGCAAATCAAGACATTTCAATGTATGTTAAAACTTTTATTAAATGTCATTACTTTCATATGAGTATATTTTAAAAGCTTTATAGATTACAGCGAATGCGATAACATGTATTTAAAAAGCCATAAATATTATTCACAAAGTCCGCTCGTAAGTTAACGACTAAAGAATCCTTTCAATGTTGCCATCATTTCGCACTTAGAACGTGCGCACATTTAAGCGTAGTAATCCATCAAACACAATCGTTTCGTTGGAGCGTCAACTTTGCTAATGTAATCCCTTTCGCGATACATATTTTGCTCTTTTTCTTACATTCCTAGCTCGTGCCAACAGTTCACGCTCCTTTAAATCTTTCTCCACACTTTCGTAAGGAATTTACTTGTTTGAAAAAGGTATGAAGACAATTTTATTAACGCTCAATGGACAAAGAATGTTAACGTGAGCAAAATGAAAGTGTGACTGATTATAACATTTTATACATCAGTGATAGATGTGAAGAAATTAACGTTCTTACTTATATGTCATAGATGTAAAACTTAGCCTGGAAGAACACACAAGCTACTTATGAAGTTTTTTTTTAATTCCGCGCGAACAGTCGCGGGCGACAGCTATTCTCTTCCTATGTTGTCAAAATCTCTACATGTATGTATTTGTACATTTGAAGAAGTTATAAAGCCATGGAAAATTCATACTCTATAATTAAATTAGCATTCAGTAGTCAGATTTTTTTGCTGTTATTTGCATACTTGTTTCATGTAATTGGTCGAAAGCAGCACATCTTCCATCAGGCTTTTTCTTGTTTACTTTTAACTAATCATTTTAAATTACGACATTCACGTATTGTTGCGTGTACCAGAAGCAATGTATTTATTTTCATTATGCACTTGCTTCATCCGTGTAGTATTTACAATTATGTAAATTGAATATGAATTTATCAACTAGCAAAAAACATTTGTAGAATTTAAATCATAGAGCAACGGCCATTTTGATTTTTTACAAGACATTGAAGTAATAGTAGAATAATATTAGAGAATACGAAATACTTTCTAAGACATCGTCAAAACAGAAAGGCAATTTATGTTTGATTTTATCATCGAAACGAGACCGTGAGTAAGTGCGGCATGAACCGCCCGTTCTACGTACGTTGATACAAGTAGTTAAACTGTTGGCGTATCAAACTAATGTACGTCACTGGCAACCGTAACTATCTTCTTAATGGCTACACAGATTTACTGATTAGTCTAGTGGAGTAAAAGCCTACTGACTACAAGGTTGTTAGAAATTAGATTAACTGAAAGCGTTACTATCTAGAATATCTGGTTGTATTCCAATGCCACAGAATTTGTGACATCAAATTGGTTTAAATTGTGGAAAGGAAATTTAAATTTAATGACTTCAGTAATTTTTAACAACGTCAAAAGGTTAACTTACGTTTTTTTTTTAAATGGAAAAAGGAGGTTATGAATACTGGATAAAGCTTTAAATGCGGTTGAAAAACCGTTTAGTATAAAACAAGTTACAATCAGCCTATTTGTTAACCCATAAGTCAAGTCAGCGGCGACCCCTGATTCTTGGCATCAACAATGATCATTACAGAAAAAGCTATTTCTAAAAAAGACTCTAATTATATCACAATAAGTTTCAATTTTGAAAAACAAAGATTTGAAGATGAACCGGCCTGAGCACACCGTTATACGTGTGCTGACCAATATTGTCATAGCTTTGCCTCCTAATGTTTACCTTCGACACAAGTAAATTGCCGCCACTAATAGGTTTTTTACTCCCGTCCGTTATTCTATACTACTTCATAACGTTCGTTTATAAATCAATTGAGACCAAGGCCCTGAATACTTACACCATCGAAGATGGAACGTGGGATATACACATTTAGAGATTTTGTATATCTAAACATCCCAATTACCTAATTCTTTTCTTACACAACCGCGGTAATTGCAGCCTGATTTATTTTAAATCTGAATCTTAATCTCCCCATAAAGTCGTTAAGTGATCATTTAAAGACTTTGAGTGGATAGGTAATATCGAAAGCAGCTAAATGTGAATTTAAATAAAGAACTAACTAATTACTTACTTGTACAGCGCTATTCAAGAAGCAATTGTTCAATCCTGGAGCGTTCCAAAGGCCTTTAGTGGTGTGGAAGATACCAGAATCTCTTGAACCATCTCTTGAGTGTTGTGGTCTGAGTTCAGGTTCCCGTCGGTAAGGTTCGTGCGCTGGAGCCGCCATGGTTGTTGCTACTGCGACGTCACATCCATACACTTTACGAAAGCACCCATTCTATCTGGAAAAAAATGAAATTTATTTGGTAAATTTTTTACACCATGTTGTAAAAATAAAATAAGTCTTCTTAATGTTAAGACATCGCTATTCTTACTGGTAAGATTATTTTACATTTAAGTGCCTACTTTAAAATTTTTTCTTTTCTCGTACATGAGCGGAAGATTCCGTTTTTTTTTGTTTTGCGTGTTTAAAACAAACCTATGAAAGTTTTAAAAATTCCTCCATCTGAACTCCTCATCAATAAAATTCAAGATATGAACCTCAAATTGTAAGTTCATCACCATCATCATCAGCTCACTGTACGTCTCCACCGAGGGACTCGGAGCCTATCCTAAGTTAAGGGTGATTAGGCCATAGTCAACCACGCTGGCCAAGTACGGGTTGGTTGACTTCACACATATCTTTGAATTTCTTCTCAGATATGTGCAGGTAATTGTAATTTACCTACATAATAATATTAACGAATAATTAAGAGAAGCATAAAAAAATGTATACAGTAATCATTCTCACAAATTTTGTCGGCTACGTGCAATCAGTTTACATTATAATGTGAGCCAATAGCACACAATGTGGAATGGGGTCATATAATAGAGATGACCCCGTAATAAAGTTAATCGCTAATCGTATCCGCCTGCTGAAGTACACCATCTGTTCATCAGTTATCAAGTTTATATTTACCTTATTATCATTAATTTATTTTTGTTATGGTAATTTTTCATCGTACAGTAACGTTTTGATAATATAAACATCCGTAGAAAGCTCTTTAAATAGCGACTTACCCTCATCACAATGGATCTCTATTGATGACCTAAGAGTTATTTTTATTTACACTGCCCGTAGACTATGTAAGTATCAATCTGAACCATATTATACGTTTTTTTAACCCTACCTTCTATATGTAAAATATTTAAATTTTATGAGAACAACGTTATAAGTATTGCTTTGTTACTGTCTTAGATAAAAGTCCCCATAAAATTGCTTTCCTCGTTACTTTTTCGTAACTTAAAGAAATGGAAAACTGTTCAGTCAGTTGCCTATTGGTTGGGTAAATTCGTCATCATGCTAGTTTGAGTAATAAAGAGGCACAGTATTAAAATTGACAATAAATCACAAGCATATGAAATTGATTTCAAGAACATACTCTATTGGTCTCTTTAAACGTTAGTACCTCATTATTGAAACAGATAATCAAAACCGTTTTCCTTAAGATTAGCTTACTCTTTGTAAACTTTAATTGAATATATACACACTAAGAAGGTTTTAATCATTAGTTAAACATTTGAATAAAGTAAATGAAATTAACAACTCAGTATTAAATAAAAAAAATACACACGGAAGTAAATGCATTAGAAATAAGATACTCATTAGCTGTTAGCTAACTAAGGTATCGGATAGATAGGTAAGGGAGCGTCGTGGTCCACTAATGATGTCATGGGAGATGCCGGGCGCATTCCTGTGACGTTTGTTGATCATTTGTACCCAACACATGTGTTACAATAGTTGAACGTGAACTTGAACAAATGTTTATTTGTAATATGAATGTTTTGTAGCAGTCATACCATACGAATGGTAATTGAATAGGTAGTATTGTTCATTCGTTTTTAAAATAACGATGTATCGACATTACTTTAGATAGACATGTAAAATCAAGTCAGTAAACAAAGAGTAAGTAATCATTTGAGCTTTAATCAAAGATGTTAAGTTAATTTAGTTTTTAGGGCCTCATTCTTTCCGATAAAATCGTCAAGTCTTGTGATAATTTAGGCAAAAATTTGGATTAAGAGAGCGTGCGTCTTTCAATTATTTATTTATATACATTTATCGCTTTTTAGCATCAAGTAAAATTATCTGATATTATTTAATTATATTAAAAATAAAATGAGATATGCTTTCAAGTTAATCTAGTCTTTAACTGGGTGTGACTTATACTGGTATTATTTTCATATAAACTCGTAGGAAGTTATTAGGAATTTTTAAGAATTTTACATTAGTCGATGACAGTGTCGAGTATCCGGTTTTCGCTCGTGCGAAATCGTGGCCTTGTCTCATC